GAAATTGCCCCCGGTGCGATTTTTGTTTCCGATCGACCTGTCAAATTTCAGCCCATTTCGACACCGTCGTGAAAAATAACGAAATTGCCCCCGGCGCGATTTTTGTTTCCGATCGACCTTTCAAATTTTAGCCGATTTCAACACCGTCGCGAAAAATGACGAAATTGCCCCCGGCGCGATTTTTGTTTTTGATCGACATGTCGAATTTCAGCCCATTTCGACACCGTCGCAAAAAATGATGAAATCGCCCCCGGCGCGATTTTTGTGTCCGTTCGACCTGTCAAATTTTAGCCCATTTCGACACCGTCGCGAAAAATGACGAAATTGACCCAGGCGCGATTTTTGTTTCCGATCGACCTGTCAAATTTCAGCCCATTTCGACACCGTCGCGAAAAATGATGAAATTGCCCCCGGCACGATTTTTGTTTCGGATCGACCTGTCAAATTTCAGCCCTTTTCGACACCGTCGCGAAAAATGACGAAATTGCCCACGACGCAATTTTTGTCTACGATCGACCTGTAAAATTTCAGCCAATTTCGACACCGTCGCGAAAAATGACGAAATTGCCCCCGGCGCGATTTTTGTTTCCGATCGACCAGTAAAATTTTAGCCCATTTCGACACCGTCGCGAAAAATGACGAAATTGCCCACGGCGCGATTTTTGTTTCCGATCGACCTGTCAAATAAAAAAGTAATGCGAAAAAACATTACAGGTGTCATACACTAGTTTAGGTGATACTGTATGATATTAAATGATGGATGCACTTTAATGCAATATCACAACATTTATTTCATTTGAACATACCAAGTGTAGTTAGTTAGATTGGCATTCAGTACAAGTGTTAAGCACCAATTTAGGTAAAAAAAAATACATGAAACTTAAAATAAGTAACTTGATTGATGCTTCCTTGGAACTTGGAAGAGCTCCGGGACTATCAATTCTTCGAAATGGTGGCAAGAGCAGTCCCAAATATTTAGTTGTGGAGTCGACAATGGCGGAGCATACAATGTTTTTATGTCAAATTCAACAGAAATTTCACCATTCATGGTTTTACCCTGTCCCTATTCCCCCCAATGCGTAATACTCAAAATCAAGATATCTACAAGTTCCAAGTTTGCAACCTCTTTGGGTTTTGAATTTAACACTGCAAGCATCCGATTTTGGTACTTTTGTTTTAGTTAATGTAGTCATAGAAATGGGCTGCTGTTTTTGTTCTACATTCATATTGTTATAGAAGAGAAAATGGCTATTCTGATTGAATTATGTCATATGTACAACATTGATTGATAACATCCTATTTGACATTATCATATTCATCAATTTAAAAAAAAAAAAATCTACATCCACATGCTTGGATTTTGACAACGCATGGTTGTCAACAATTGTTGTCAACTAATGTGGTATACTTAATTCTATTCATTATCATATCCTTGGGTTTTAAGATTTGGTCGAATTGTGGGTATTCTGTAAGAAAGTTTGAGGATTCAAACACTGAATCTGGCACACCATTACATGTTTATATTGATTTTTTGGGACTTGAAAGAAAGAAAATGGGTCTGTAAAGAATTTGGAAGAAATTTTATTTGCAAAGTGAGAATGGAGAGTTTTGCGGGCTCCATTGAATTGGGTGTGACCACCAAAATACAGGTCTATTTGTTTCCATCAATTAGAACCTTATCACTACCTCTCACAAGAGTACAGTACCATATCTTTTTAACGTCAAAGAAAGCAATTTAATGTGGTACTAAACAACATTAGACGCAATGGCACGTCAAGGTTATTTATTTATAAAAAGAATCCATGTATCGTGACTTCAGTAAAACGACAATCCGACTTGCACGTGAGAGAATGCATTAAGCATTATAAATAATTGTATCATCTTCCTGAGACATGGAATTGGACTCTTTGTAAGTGCAATGTACAAGTAGCTCTTGTTCCCTTGATTGATGGGGCACATCTCGCGATTTACCTCTCTCACAAAGTTCTAGGGGCGGGATGGTGGGGCCCCTCAAAGTTGGGGTTCAACCTTTAATAATTGTATCATTTATCTAAAATGTTAAACTTTTACATAGGCTGGTAGCTCGTTTGACAAAATTTTTGAAAAGTTAAAAGCAACTTCTAACTAGATCCCTATTTTTTAAAAATTCATTGTTCTCCAAACTCATTTTAATCAGACATATTTCCAATTAAATAATTTTACACGTAAGCTCAAAACATTTTTCTACTTTTTAACTACATATTCTCCAAAAAAAATCACTATTACCGAATAATTCTCACTAAAAATGAGGCTCAACCACACCTAAGAAGCTACATTTGGATAACTTTTTAGAGTACTTTATCTGACTAGAAAAGTTTTTAGAGAAAGTTAACTTAAAAGACCTTTTTCAGAACACTCTTTTCATTAGAAGTGAAAACAAAAGCAGTATTCTTATCAAACGAACCCACATTGGTTTATGAATTACAGAAAGTGGGTTGTGGACAGGTATACGCAATTATGCACGTGATAAAATACGTGTATTAAAGATGAATATATCAGTATTAAGATTTCACATTACAAGTGACTTTCTTGGACACGAGGTGAATTTGTTCCGATATGAAGTATAGATCAAGCATATTACAAATTCGATGGGGAGAGGATCTCAACCAAGTTTGAATCCTTCCACTAGCCACTCAATGTCTGCTACACATTTTGTCGAACACAGCACTCAAAACAGATACATAGTCAGGAAAACTTCCATTCCAAAAGGAGCCGATAAAAATCTTCATTGCTGAATTTTCTCCAGAAAATATCAGACATTGTGGCCATCATGTGTTGGTTTGTCTACAAAAAAGGTGCCATCCCAGCTTTTGATTACAATAAAGAAAATTTGACAATAGTTTTCCAAGTCACAAGTGATAGTTTTGTCTGCTTCTTTATTTAAACTTGCAACAATGGAATAGAATTTACTGTGCTTGTGCTGCAATCATAATCAATAGAAATGGAAAGGGTAAGTTATAATCATGCTTGAACCATCTAGTGCACTCGAGTAAGTACACTGAACTAAACAGCATAAGACGAAAATTATCTCGTGCAATACTTAGTAATCATGCCAGCCACACTGGTTTTCTGTTGCTATCATTGTGCAACGCACACCTCTTCGACCATGTAAAAAGAAGAATTATGTTTCACCTACATAATATCCAAGATTTTGACCCAAAAATTTAAAAATAATTGGGAAAAAAAGGGAGGAATAAATCTTAGACTTAGAGCATCTCGGACTTTCTATTTTTAAAAAGCAAATTCTATCATTCAGAGAACATTTATAAATTTAGAAAGTTAAAATTTTGAAGTACTCCAACAAACTCTTTATATTTAATTTAAATTTACTACTCTCAAAAAATATTTATTATTTTTTCTAACTAACTTTTTTTAAAATTATTTTATTATTTTCCTACATTAAAAATTAAAACACTTTGAATGTATTTAATTATAGAGTGTGAATTTGGCTCTCCAAAATTAAAATGTTAATAGCCTCTTGGAGTATAATTTTAAAAGTTGACTATTTAAAATAGAAAGCATCTTATATTTAAAGAGTCTCTTGGATATGCTCTTGGATAATTAGCACAAAAGGTTCCCACCTTTTAATGTTACTATGCAAAATGTTCATACCTTTCATTTTTTTTTTGCATTTTTACCCTTATTTAAACGCTTCTTTGTAGAAAACGTTATTTTCACTATATTTTAATGTAAAATGAACAAAATACCTTCCAATTTAAATAAAATAAAAGAAAAATAAAGAATAAATTACAATATTACTCCTAAATGTTTAAAAAAGTGCAAGTGAGTCCAAATAATTATCAAAAAGCCTAATAGCACAAAACGTCCATATGTTTCAAATTGGTCCGCAATGAAACGTAAAAATGGGGATAAAAATGCAAAAAAAAAAAAAAATTGAAACGTTGAGACGTTTTCCGCAAGAAGTGTTAAATGTAAGAATTTTTTTGCTATTAGACCTTATTAAAATATTAAAAATTAAAAATTAAAACTCCCTCCCTCCCTTTCCCCCCTCCAAATGGGACTGTCACGTTAGAAGTGAAAAAATTCATATCAATTATCGTCCAAATCGTCGAACCTCCTACTACTGAACCATCTGTTAATATTTTAAGACCATGAAGAGAAGCACCCTAGTGAGTATAATCAATTGATGTATTGAAAACGGCATGGGTTTCTCAGGAACATGTGATGTCGCTAGTATTTGCAATTTCGAGTCCAAACAACTCTATTGGCATGAAGATTTCAAGGTTGGATGTTGGGTGGTATGTGTAGAGGGAAGTGAAGGCTTGTTTGGTAGTATGGTGGTCCAGCAGTTTGGGTAGTGGTTTGCTAGAATTTTTTACTTCTAAAGTGGCTGGCCCATTTAGAGAAGAGGGATAGTGTGTGTGTATGTGTGTGTGTGTGTGTGTGTGTGTGTGTATATATATATATATATATATATATATATATATATATATATNGAAGAAGAAGAGAGGGAGAGTGTGTGTGTGTGTGTGTGTGTGTGTGTGTGTGTGTGTGTGTGTATATATATATTTTTTAATAAGACCTATAGCAAAAAAATCTCTACGCTTGACACTACTTGCAGAAAACGTCCTTACGTTTCATTTTTTTACATTTTCATTCCTATTTCCACATTTCATTGCGAAAAACGTCTTTTTTACCAATTTAAAATTTAAGGACGTTTTGCACATTATAGACCAAATGTAGAGACATTTTGTATTATTAGGTCTTTTAATAATTATTTGAATTCGATTGCACTTTTTAAAATATTTAGGAGCAACATTGTAATTTATTCTTTAGTTTTTTTCCTTTTTTTGGTTTTATTTAAATGGAAGGGTATTTTAGTTATTTTACATTAAAAATGGTAAAAATGACTTTTGTATAACGAAACGTTAAAATAAGAGGAAAAACGCTAAAAATTGAAAGCTAATGACATTTACATTTTTTACAATAATATTGAAAGGCAAGAACCTTTCATGCTAATTACTTATATACTCTTAATTCACAACTTTGCCTGATAATTCATGCATAGTACAATAATGCTTTGGAAACATAAGCAGCAAAATCATGTCATTTAACAATATACAACGCAAAAATAAACATGAAAGTTGGTGTTGATGAAGGAAATCACGGAAACTATTGGACAATTTGAGACGACAAATAAGCTAAACTTCAAACTCTGTACATGTGGCAAATATTCGTTGGCACCTGACCTATTGTGTCAAGCTGCTAGCCTATAGAATTGCATGTTGGTCCAATCCTTTAACAGACAAGAGAAGATCTAAGTGACGTGGGAGTTGATAGATCCGTGCACGAGGCCCATCGAATAACTGATTCAGTCACCATGAGATCGAGCTGCTCAAATTCGCCAAGGCCAATCGTGCGGTTTCTCCTGCTATGAATACCTGATAGTTTAGACTTGCCAGACCCGCTTTTTCTAACCTCAACTTCCTTTTTGCCCATCACATCAGCTGCACACTCCGAGCATTGAGAAGAACCTGGTGTTGTAAACAACTTCCCCACATCAGAATCTGCAGAATATAGAATCAGCATGAGTTTGAGCTATGCTGGCATGTTTGATAAGGAAGATTAGGGAGCACTCAATAATATTAATGAAAAGAAAAAAAAGAAGTTTAAATCTAGTTCCTTATACTGTCCAGGTCTATTCACATTCGTGTACCAAGTCGAAACTATGTTACCTCTTTCACTCAAGTTGACTCTGGATGAGTTCATGTTGAGATTCAAAGCACCGTTTCCTTGTTCAACCACATTACCTGGGCTGAAGAAAGAGAAACTTGGCAGTGCAACAAAGGGAGTAGNAGGACGTTTTGCACATTATAGACCAAATGTAGAGACATTTTGTATTATTAGGTCTTTTAATAATTATTTGAATTCGATTGCACATTTTAAAATATTTAGGAGCAATATTGTAATTTATTCTTTATTTTTTTTTTCCTTTTTTTGGTTTTATTTAAATGGAAGGGTATTTTAGTTATTTTACATTAAAAATGGTAAACATGACTTTTGTATAATGAAACGTTAAAATAAGAGGAAAAACGCTAAAAATTGAAAGCTAATGACATTTACATTTTTTACAATAACATTGAAAGGCGAGAACCTTTCATGCTAATTACTTATATACTCTTAATTCACAACTTTGCCTGATAATTCATGCATAGTACAATAATGCTTTGGAAACATAAGCAGCAAAATCATGTCATTTAACAATATACAAGGCAAAAATAAACATGAAAGTTGGTGTTGATGAAGGAAATCATGGAAACTATTGGACAATTTGAGACGACAAATAAGCTAAACTTCAAACTCTGTACATGTGGCAAATATTCGTTGGCACCTGACCTATTCTGTCAAGCTGCTAGCCTATAGAATTGCATGTTGGTCCAATCCTTTAACAGACAAGAGAAGATCTAAGTGACGTGGGAGTTGATAGATCCGTGCACGAGGCCCATCGAATAACTGATTCAGTCACCATGAGATCGAGCTGCTCAAATTCGCCAAGGCCAATCGTGCGGTTTCGCCTGCTATGAATACCTGATAGTTTAGACTTGCCAGACCCGCTTTTTCTAACCTCAACTTCCTTTTTGCCCATCACATCAGCTGCACACTCCGAGCATTGAGAAGAACCTGGTGTTGTAAACAACTTCCCCACATCCGAATCTGCAGAATATAGAATCAGCATGAGTTTGAGCTATGCTGGCATGTTTGATAAGGAAGATTAGGGAGCACTCAATCATATTAATGAAAAGAAAAAAAAGAAGTTTAAATCTAGTTCCTTATACTGTCCAGGTCTATTCACATTTGTGTACCAAGTCGAAACTATGTTACCTCTTTCACTCAAGTTGACTCTGGATGAGTTCATGTCGAGATTCAAAGCACCGTTTCCTTGTTCAACCACATTACCTGGGCTGAAGAAAGAGAAACTTGGCAGTGCAACAAAGGGAGTAGAAAATTCCAGTGAGTTTGATCCGCCACTACTGCAAAAAGAAAATCCACCAGGTACAAATGAAGGAGTCAATGGGTCCACCAGAAAAGAGGAGAATGATGATCTGCATGAGAAGGAAGGTGACTGAACTTCACCCATAGTAGGTGATTCAGTTCCAAAACTGATATTCTGATTCCTGGCCATAAGCGAGGGGGATAAACAACCTTTATCTGTACCCAATCTATAATTTTGCTCACATTCATGAGGTTCATCACGAAGTTTCACATCGCCCGTTACCCATAAGTGGTCTGTAAAAGTTGGCCATCATTAGGTATGAGAGAGCATACTTTTGTTAAATTAGAGAAGCATATGTTATCACTATATCCATGATAAAATTAAGAAAGTAAAAAAATGAGCCATATAATTGTGTTACATCCCATGAGTATATTCCAGACCTGAAAAGACAACAAATGGATGCTGTGATAATACTAAACAGCAATGGATCGACATATCCAATTATGGTTCCCGTAAGTAAAATTCTGGTGTCATCCAAATTTTATAATATAAGATAAATGCCTCAAGACCATTTGTTTCACTTGCCAAATGAAAATTTGAAAGAAAAAAGTTGCAGCTTCAATAGGTATAGGTTCTCAACAGATAATTTCACGACTGTTTCACATCACCAAGGAAAGCACAAATTTTGCTTCAGTGACTGAATATTTTGTTGAAATAGGAATAAAGGGAACCTGTATATGGTACACATCAATTACCTGGTTAATCATAACCAATGAATTCTTGTGGGTAAAAATCAAATTGATTAGTCATGCCAGTTGATCCTAGAAGTGCTGTTAAAAATTTCAGATTATTTTCCAATAAATTCGATGACAAATCACTCGTTTTATCAAGGTGGCTTTTCTGCCTTTCCATTTTATTCTTCCTGGGTTTTAATACGAATCATCAGTTATGAACAGAGATACGACCACTGAGAAGCAGAACTAGGAAACTAAAATAGTGAAATTCAAAATTTCAACTAATGTTGATAAAAGAGAAAACGCAACCTACCCAGAACCTGTTGAGCTGTAAGCCTTTTAGAAGCATCCATGCAAAGCATTCCCTTTATCAATTCCTTCGCAGAGTAAGATATAAAATCCCAGGGATTAGACGGAAATCGCAATTCAGCAGCCCTAACAGCCTCAAAAATTCTTGACTTAGTCTTCCCCCAAAATGGTGGTATCCCACTCAGAAGAATGTAAAGTATCACACCAGCACTCCAGACATCAGCTGCTTGATCATATCCTCCTGACAGGACCTCCGGAGCTATATAAAATGGACTACCAACAGTACCGTGCAAACTTTGTCCTGATTCGCAAAACTAAAATGCTAAGAACAACAATGATTAACATCCTATATCATAAATAGCAAAGAATATCACAGTAACATGGGACTCTACCAGGCTTGATGTAAGTTGCAAGACCGAAATCTGCCAATTTTATCGGAGAAGAAGAAGATTTTGTGGCTAGAAGAATGTTTTCTGGCTTTAAATCTCTATGAACAACACCCTTGTCGTGACAGTACATCACAACTTGCATCAGGTGCCGGAAAAGAACCCGGGCCTCGGGCTCGGAGAATCTCCCTTGCTTTTCCAATAGGTTGAACAGCTCACCTCCAGCACAAAGTTCCATCAGTAGATGCACATAATCTTCCTCCTCGAAAACGGCCTTGAGATCGACCACGTTAGGGTGCCCAGATAGCCTGGTCATTATTTCAATCTCAAGTTTGATGCTGCGCACATCTTCTCGAGTGACTAACCTATCTTTAGCAATAGATTTACATGCTAGAACCTTCCCGGTTAATTTATCCATGCATTCCCTGATTATGCCAAATTGCCCCCACCCCAACTGTTTTCCAAGAACATATTGATCATTCAAATTTGCAATCTGGTTTGCGTCCAAAATAGTTTCTCTCAAACTTGCTAGTCTATAACAAATATGTGAATAACATGATGGCAACGTATAGCTGTCGCTCTTGGCAACAGCCATATGAAAAGTTCAACCTCTTAAATAATGGGAAATCAGACAAAAACTCTACTATATGGTTCTTCCAACCTCTAAATTTTAGTCTAGATCGTTAAAATAATCCTTCCAACAAGTGAGAATGCAAAAGCTTCAAGTCAAATTAGTAGATTGTTTCTCTCATAGCAACACGGCAGTCAAAAACATTAAAAGAAACTTCTGCCAGAAGTTGGTGGAGTTTGAAAATTGACGCATGTGAAGTTTAATGGGATTATTTGACCACAGAAAAGCATTAGCTCAAAACCCAAGCTCCAATATCTTCAACCCCTCCCTAATCAACTGGATCTGAAAAAATTCCAAAGTATACAAGAATTAAAACCCCAAAACAAGCGTTCTTCATAAAACTGTAACTGAAATTTAACAAGACATCAACAGAAGACACAAAATATCACGAGCAAAAAAACCCTAGAATACCATACCTACAGGGATCAAGAATGTAATCTTACAAATGCTCAAGCTGAGAGCGGAATACGAAACAACAATTTAAGAAGAACTAAAAAAAAAAAAAAAATACCATCCGAGGCATAACGTTTCAAACTCTAGCAGAATAAGACACCAAACTGAGCCAATTCAAATCCCAAGACATCTTCAAATTGAAAATATTTTTAAAATATCACAAACCCAACAGTTAAAAATGCAAAACAAAGAAAATTTAAGCTCTAATAAACCATCCCAGATCCAGAATTTGTTCAAAAATGTATAAAGAACTCACCTGTGTGAATAAGGTAAACAAACGACGGAGAGGATGTGAGCATGTGAACAATACTCAGCAGAAGATGGAGACTTGGGTGTGTGGAACTGTTCCTCCCACGGAGAGAGGTTTCAAGTGGGGCACTTCGGTCCCCTCGGTTTGCCAAATTCTCCACACCCACTTGAGTTTTCTTCGTCTATTAACTGTTCGTGCCTTCGCTGATGTTTTGATTGGTCATCTTGGCTTTACGTTGTTTTATTGCCTTTTTTGAAATCAAATATTTTATTTGCTAGAACTCCATGAGTTCCATTTTCGTACACATTAGCCCCCAAAATTTAGAGTTTATGACTTTTGATACCATTTTGACTTGACATTATTGATTTGTCTTGAGCTATTTAAAATAACCCCCTAAGGATGGTCAAGAAAATAAATGCTAACTTTTTTTTAGGTCAGTAAGTAAAAATAAAGAATAATGATATTTATTAGCACAAATATCACTCATCCATGAGGCAAATAATGTGTTATGAAAATTTATTATAATTATACTTAGTCCTTGTTTCAGCTCCATTTTTGTCCAAAAAATAAATGAATTTTTGAACAGTGTATTGATAGAAAATGTGTGGTTAAAAAATAAAGAAAAATTTTATACAAGAATTAAAACCCCAAAACAAGCGTTCTTCATAAAACTGTAACTGAAATTTAACAAGACATCAACAGAAGACACAAAATATCACGAGCAAAAAAACCCTAGAATACCATACCTACAGGGATCAAGAATTTAATCTTACAAATGCTCAAGCTGAGAGCGGAATACGAAACGACAATTTAAGAAGAACTAAAAAAAAAAACAAAAAAATACCATCCGAGGCATAACGTTTCAAACTCTAGCAGAATAAGACACCAAACTGAGCCAATTCAAATCCCAAGACATCTTCAAATTGAAAATATTTTTAAAATATCACAAACCCAACAGTTAAAAATGCAAAACAAAGAAAATTTAAGCTCTAATAAACCATCCCAGATCCAGAATTTGTTCAAAAATGTATAAAGAACTCACCTGTGTGAATAAGGTAAACAAACGACGGAGAGGATGTGAGCATGTGAACAATACTCAGCAGAAGATGGAGACTTGGGTGTGTGGAACTGTTCCTCCCACGGAGAGAGGTTTCAAGTGGGGCACTTCGGTCCCCTCGGTTTGCCAAATTCTCCACACCCACTTGAGTTTTCTTCGTCTATTAACTGTTCGTGCCTTCGCTGATGTTTTGATTGGTCATCTTGGCTTTACGTTGTTTTATTGCCTTTTTTGAAATCAAATATTTTATTTGCTAGAACTCCATGAGTTCCATTTTCGTACACATTAGCCCCCAAAATTTAGAGTTTATGACTTTTGATACCATTTTGACTTGACATTATTGATTTGTCTTGAGCTATCTAAAATAACCCCCTAAGGATGGTCAAGAAAATAAATGCTAACTTTTTTTTAGGTCAGTAAGTAAAAATAAAGAATAATGATATTTATTAGCACAAATATCACTCATCCATGAGGCAAATAATGTGTTATGAAAATTTATTATAATTATACTTAGCCCTTGTTTCAGCTCCATTTTTGTCCAAAAAAAAAAAATGAATTTTTGAACAGTGTATTGATAGAAAATGTGTGGTTAAAAAATAAAGAAAAATTTTGGATTTGCATATAATATTATTTTATTGAAAAATGTGTGGTTGAAATGAGGTCAAAACACTGTTTAAAAATTCGTTTTTTTCAAAAAATGGGGCTCAAACAAATTTATTAGTCCATGATTGATTTCAATAAAAAAATTAAATGTTTGATTGAAAAGTTGTGAATTTCATGAAATATATACCTCGGTTTGATTTCCATTCTTTTGCAAACAAAAAAAAATGAAAAATATGATCGTTATTCATCAAATCAAATCACTATATTTGACTTTTTATCTTTTATATAGGTTCTTAACGACTATATTTTTGATTCTCTTTATTAGAAAAAGGGCAATCAAACAGATCCATACTAAAAATATTGACTTTAAGTTAAATTGTACTTTAACAATTTTTTTTTTTTTTAATCGATCGAACATGGACTTATATTCTTGATCTCAACTCTTAATTGTGTCATGAAAAAGCGAAAAAGCAAGTCTCCTAAGAGTTCTCACGACTTCTTTTCAATTTCTACAGTTTTATAAAATTGTCGTGTCAAATTTTTATTAAAAAACATTATAATGATACTCCTCATGTATTCAATCCACAATGTGTCTACTTTTGATGCATTCGATTAAATGCTTGAAATAGCCCATGATTCGAAAAAAGTCAACACTTAATTTTAACATTTCATTTAATGGGTTTCATAATTTTACACCTACGCATTCTATCAATTTTTATCAAAATCATGTTTCTAATTACATGTCCAGATGTACTTATATGTATAGAATCCACTACTTTTATGGTTCAAAATAAATAAATTATGAGTCCTACAAAATAATTGTGACTCCTATTTTATCTAATTTTTAAATAGTGGTACCAAACAAGCACTTCTTGATAAATTTCTAATTCCAATATTCGATAACCAGTTCTAAGAATGCTAGATATTTAAAATATAGGATGTAAAATTCATGAACATGTATGGTAAAAGATTATACGGGATTGAACTACTCTTGTCACTGATTGGTCAGTCACAAATACTAAGAGGCAATTTGAAATCAATTTAGGTACATGTAGAAATTAGAAATTATAAAGATTATAGTACATTACATACTTCCTCTATTGAATTGTCTCTGGTTATCGAGGATTGGATTTTCTTTTACTTCAATCGCGATAAGAACAAGTACTTCCTTCGTCCTAATTATATAGGCTTGATTCGTTCTTCACAAGGATTAAAAAATCTTCTTTAATATGATTAGAAATTTTATTTTTGCTAAAATCTTTCCTAGTTTACTCATATTTAATTTTCAGTATGTAGTAATAAATTCTTGTTGGAATTAATAAAGAATTTGAATGATTTAGTTTGAAGAAGAAGAAATGAGAGTTATTCCATAGTTCCAAGAAGTGAGAAATATATGTATTTGGATGATTCAAAAAGTTGGCATATTAAGTGGGGAAAATTGAATAAGGATATATTAGTAAAGAAATTAAACAAAATATTCTAAATTAGAAAATAGACCTATATATTTGGGACAAGAGAAAAAAAACTTAACATATATAATTGGGATGGAGGGAGCATTTCTTGTGTTGTGGAAATCTTGATCTAGGCTCAGAAAAACCAACCGAACGAACGCCACTGAAACAATCTCGAACCCAAAACTTCCAAACACTTTGGTTGTCACAAGTTTTCTCAACCCCACAAATGAGACTATGGTGGTGGTTGTATTTGCAAGCTATAAGGAAGAGGAAGGAGAAGAGAGCAAAGGTTGAATCTCACACAACACTCTCTTCATGGCTGCCCCTTTGTCTCTCTCGCTTTCCCTCTTGCAACAATACACACAACATGAGAAAAAACAGCTGGAAAGGGTACATATATTGCTACATTCTTAGGTCAATACTAGTTGAGTCAAGACTCATTTAAATGGACCAACTTAATAACAAGGTTAATGGCTAACACACACATTAGCTCAAATCAATTAAATCCTACTCAAACTTCGGCCTCTAAAAGTGTTGGTTGTTTCCAGGTCAGTCAAGTCTATGGCGTCAATAAATTATCCAACATCTATTTTATTAGGTATCAAAACCCAATATCTTAAACAGGTTTTTACATGATTACTTTGCTTTTGTTAAGATTTGGGATTCTATCTTAAAAGATCAACATTTTTAAGAGTAGTTCTAAACCTTATAAATTGGTCTGTGTTTCCATCTTTAATCGATGCGAGATTTTATCCCTTAACATGCTCTTACAAGACAGTGGCTCATTTGAGCAAACTAATCTAGAAATTCGTGTGCTCTTTTATTGAGTCTTGATTGGATCGAATAGCTCGTTGGAGTTTAATGGGCTCTGATACCATGTTGAGATTTGTGGTTCTATTTTAAAAGGTTTTGAAGATGAGTAGTCTAAAACCTTTATAGGTTGGTCTATATTTTCATCTTTAATCGATGTGGGATTTTATCCCTTAACAGCCTTTGGGATCAAATAAGCTTTACATAGGGAGTGAAGATGACACTGTTGTTGGAAAAATGAGTAAATGGATACTTTTGGCATAAGTTTGAGTGGGACCCGTTGGTCCGATTTGTAAGATCAAAGTTGATCCGTGTTCTCCTCCGTGAGAGTATCGAAACCATATATTTACTTGCCAAAATTGATTAACAAATGAATGAGAAATTGGAGCTCAAAGTTGGCCATTGGAAGATGGTTTATGTGGAAAAAATGACATTTGTCTCACATAGGAAAATGAAGAAAGCATGAACCACTTTATATATGCCTACACTTTGGAATGGTGTAATCATGTGTAGCATAGAGGCTCTCTCCACGTGCGCGCAGGGGGGTGCAAATCTCGGACCGAAATAGCTTTCAGAACTTAAAATTGGGTGCGGGCGTGACCTGCTCACACGAATGTCGGATTGAACAAGGTAAAATTCACCCCTTCGGAGAGCCCATGTTTTGCAATTTTTTTTTGTTTTCTCCAATGACTTTTGAGTTTCTGAAACTGCAAAAACTCCAATGGACTCCCAATGGTCCCAGTGTTAATGGGCAGTAACTCCAATGAACTCCCAATGGTCACAATGCTAATGGGCAATATGCTTATAAAAAGGCTCATTCTCCAGCAATCTAATACACTCGAAAATCTCACCTATATTTCTGCATACATAGTTTCTTCTTTTCTGCATTCCTTGTTCAGTAAGGTTTTGTTCTTGTGGTGATATTATTCGGATACTAGATCAGTTCGCCATAGTAGTATCTGCAGTGCTCAAATTCTACTATATACCGTTGTATCTTGGGAAATAGACGCTCGGATTAAAACTCAAGCACGTACAGTGAGAGGGCAAATTTGTTTCAAGGATACTGTGTTTACATAGGCCTCGGGTTAAAAGTTTATATAAAGTTATAAGCATGTCGTTAATTTTTTTTTTCTCTGAAATTTCTGTTAATTTTCAGCTTTCTCGTTTAGATTTATTAAATTAACATGTTTTACATAACTTAATATAATTTAATTCTAAATTAGATTAATATATTGTGGTTTATGATAATTTAGTTTATTGTGTAATTAACTAAT